GCCGTATTCTCCAAACGTTGACTCCCTCTGACTATCACTTGTTTCGATCAATGGCACACGGCCTGGCTGACCAGCACTTCCGGTCTTATGAAGAAGTAAAAAATTGGATCGATTCGTGGCTAGCCTCAAAAGATGACCAGGTTTTTCAACGCGGGATTCGTACGCTATCCGAAAGATGGGAGAAAGTAGTGGCCAGCGGTGGACAATACTTTGAATCATAAATGTATAACCAGTTTTTTAGAATAAAGCCTCGAATTTCGGAAAAAAAACGGCGGAAGCAAAGTTGTACACCTAATAAATAACATATACGATTTTGAATATTAATATATTTTTTAGAATTAACACACACACACACACACATTGATTTATATTAATTGATTTATTGAGAAAAATCACGATTGTTATTAATTGGGACATTTATCTTAGTGTATTAAAATTGTAATTATCTTTTTTTTATTATAATTTTGTAATTTTGAATTGATTTTGTTTTTATTGTTCGATTTAGCAGCGCTATATATTTACTTCTTTAACTTTTTGCGGGCACACTTGAATGGACAATATAAAGCAATTATGGATTATATACTTTATTTAATTTGCTATAGGATTTAATTGGTGCTAATTGTTGACAATTGATATCAAATCTTTTATCATTAGAGATAAGTAAAGATACTATTTGGATTTTACTTTTTAATTTGATACAATTTAACTTGATTAGTTGAGAAACTAGCATTTGGATTTTAATTCTTCATTTGGTACACTTTTTTTTTCGAGAATAATTTTTGACAGAGAATTAAAGATGCTATTACTTGGGTTGCGTTGGAATAAAAAATCCTTCAATAAAAATATCCTTGAAAAATAATTAAAACTATTGTTAATTGAATTGATAAATTTAAGTTTTATTCGAGAAGCATACTACCTTGATCAAAAAATTCCCGGAATTCATTCAGAAAATTCAAAATACAAATTTTATTCATCAAAAGTGATATTGTCCCCTTCAAAGTACTCCCCATCGACTGCAACGCACTTATGCCAGCGCTTGATCCAGCTCTCGAAACATTTCTGGAACTCTATTGTCGGTACAGCTATCAGAGCCGTCTTCGATTTTTCTATTACCTCCTTTCGGCTGTTAAAATGCGTTCCCCGTAATGATTTTTTCATGCCATAAACGGCTGTTTTCTTTAGAGTATCACTGCCGAAACAGTTTCCCAACATTTCCAAGGTTTTCACACCCATTTTTGTTTTGAATCCATTTTTAACGCAAAATTTAATACAAATTCGTTGCAAATTCAATTCCATTTTAAAACTGTAAAAAATCGAAAATACGTGCAGAGGTAGATGTGCTTAAGACGGCGTAACTTTTACAAATGTCAAGCTATGGTGATAAAATTTGGGAATGTCAATGATAGATGTGGCACCCTAACCAAAAAAACAGAACTCAAATCAGCTGACTCAGAGCATCACCTGGTGGTAATTCCGGGAATTTTTTAATCAAGATGGTATTCTTAGGGTCTTTTTTTAGCTTTTTTAAGAATTATTATTTCTTACCTGAAATGCATCGTTTGTACAGAAGATCATAAGATGTACATAGGTGTTTCGACGAAAAATACATCCGTTTGAACCCGCAGATGAACAAGTCTCTTCATTCTCCCAAAATCCACGCACTCTTGTATTTCTGACAATATATCCTCTGTCCAGTCGTGGATTAAAATGCAGAGCAATATTTCCAACTGTCTTACATATTAAATTCACGGAAAACCTGTCATATAATTATATTAAAATGAGTCCACTTTACAATTGTGAAAATCTACGATGAAGAATGATGAATAATTATTATACACAAACAAAACAATAAAATTAATAAGAAAAAATTCACAGACTTAAGAGTAATCAACGCTGTAATTATAATAGTACGTACAAATTTCAATAATATTAATAATTAAACATCAATATAACGTGGTTAATTATAATACAGTCCTTCCGAACGTTTCGGTCCTATTTTGGCATCATCCTCAGCGGTGAAAAAAATCTTCTTATATATTAAAAATCGCAATCAATTCATTTGCTCTCCACAGAACAACATGTGTAAGCTCGTCACTTGATTGATTTACAATTATTTTAGAAATAATTTTTTAAATATAATTTAAAACATAATTTAACAAAAATCTAAAGGTAAATAACATTCAAATTTTGTTCCATTAAGAAACTATCATTAATTCGATGTCGAATCAATGTTGATTCATCATCAAATTGGTAATTTTAATTCCGTCGATCCTAAATCAAATTGATGTCATTTCTCATTGCGATAGCTCTTATGTGCTCTTTATGTTTAGTGAAATTTTTACTTCAGTAATGTTCTGTTACATAACTTTGAGCAATTCAAATTAAAATTATAAGAATGTATCTCATTTCACATATAATTTCAATATAGCTTTAATTTAGCTATTATATAATTTCTATAGCTGCCGTGTGATGTGCTAGGAAAATTTACAATAACGTTTGTAAAAGAACTTGAATTATTAAATTATAAATGGCGCGATGTTATCGAAACGAATGAGAATATAACAATGTAATAATGATCAGGAGACACGATAGTGTCTCAGCAAAACAAGCACAGTGATATTACCGTGTTTCTTTATGTAAAACTGCGAGTTCCAGGAGACCGAGATTATTGAATTTCAATAACAGCTGAATTGATTAAGTTCTATGCACGCTCAATCGATAGCTTCCATTCGAATTGTTTTTTTGTTTTTTTTTCTACATGTCCGAGCGAAGATATTGCGACACAAAATTCTATGAAATTTTTAAAGATATGTCGTCGTTATCATGATCATATTGTTCCTATTTATCATTTGTTAAACATTTGGCGCGAGAATGCACTAGCGTTGAACGCAAGAAGCGTTAGTGATTTCTTTTTTTAAAACATTGTCGAACGCAGCTATTTTTTGCATCTTCAACGTAATATAAATATTTAATAAAAGAAGATCAAATGGAAATGAAATTATACGCTCGTATTTGTTAATTAAGCTAAGAAATGAAAAAATGATTTAATCATCATCGATCTCTATTTGTTTGCAATTTAATAAATATAATAAATGGAGATCGAACGGAAACGAAATTATACACAATACATGTCAATAATAACTTTGAACATTAAAATAAACTTTTTGGAATTAATGTAGGTGAGTCTGACGTGCTCGTTTCTTTGATGTTACATTTCTTTTCAGAAATGTTCCTTTAAATTTATCGATTATTGATATTGAAAAGAGAATACATAAAAAATTTTACAAAACTGTTGAAAAAAGAATTCATTGGTGCCATTAAAATCGTCATTCATTCACTTTATAATTTATGAACAATTACGAATAAAAAAGTCAATTACATAGAAGTTACCTGTAAATGAGCTAATAAGAAGTACGTATGTAAATGATTATTATTCATTACAATGATAAAATAAAAATAGTGCACAATAGAAAAATTCGCAATAATATAAGAAATGGGCATATGTTTTGACTGTAGATTTGGATCCTCTTCAGTACCCACACAGCATGTAATATTGAATACATTATTTTAAATATGAAGCGCCGCCTATGGTCTAAATGTTAAGATGTTGAACTATTATATATAGGATGCGTCACCAAAATCCGGACAAATTTCAATTTAAATTTTCCGCTATATTGTGTCTCCACCAGAGATTGTTGTTGACATTCCAGAAAGCCTGATGCTTCTAGTAAACAGTCATATTCTCAAAATGGCCGCAATGTTGAAACCAAGTGCGGAGTATAATCGAAGAGCCGCGATCATTGAAGGTCTTCGCGCTGGACGTTCAGCAACGGAAATAATTCGGTTCTTTGAATATATCCAAGAATAATCGTTTATGTTGTGGCAAAATATACGGTTTTAGATCAGTTCAACGAAAGTTCCAGTATGTCAGCGAGGAAGAGTCACTCAAAAAAACGTACCACGAAAACCCTTGCAGTCATTGAAAGCGCTGATTTCGGATGACCCAGGGCAATCGTTGCGAAAATTAGTATCGATTGTTGGTGTAAGCGAGCCAATAACTTCGAATTGCCGAGGAGGACCTACAAATCGTACATATTAAAGATACGACAGATACTCTCTGAGATTGCCGAGTTGCTCGCCTCGGCTTCCATTCTGGTCTTCCAACAGTTCAGATTTAAATCCCTTGAATTATTACGTATGCAGCGTAATTGAAAGCGTTACAAATAAGTTTCGGCATCCCAATGTGACGTCATTAAAGACCGCTGAGGCAGCATTCGTCAGCATGGACAGTGCTACAGCGTGCGTGCGAACGTTTTAGACCGAGAATACAGACTGTCATTCAAACTAATGGGGGATCTCGAATAATTATGCTCTACAGTGATCCCTCAAGTGCCATGTAAAAGGATTTTTTGTAATATTTAATTTTTCATTAAAAACATTTTGTTTAAAAAAATTGTTCGATTTGTCTAGATTTTGTGACGCATCCTGTATATTCATATAAATGATAATTAATTTCAGAAATGATAATTGCGTGCCGATATGATTGTCAGACTTTCAACGTAATCAATATGAAATATTAATAATTCTCCTCAAATTTCTCAAATTTGTTCTTAAAAAACTATAATAAACTTATTGCGAAAAATATTGCCTCAGCCGAAAATCGAACTCGGATCTCTTGCATTCCGTGTGTTCTAAGTCTTTAGACTACCGAGATTTGTGAAGAGATCCGGGTTCGACTCCCGGCAGAGACAATTTTTTCGCAATAAGTTTATTACAATTTTTTAAGATTAAATTTGGAAAATTTGAGAAGGATTATTAATATTTCAGATTGATTGCGTTGAAAGTTCGATAACGGCACACAATTATCATTTCTGAAATTAATTAATTTATATAAATATTCATTTATATAAATATATAATAGTTCAACATCTTAATATCCGGACCGCTTTGTGTTCAATGTATTTAACATAAACGGTCTTGTTTCCAATCTTATTGTAATATTGGAGTAATCTTGCAGTATTGTTACAATTTGCTGTAATATTATATGGTAATATGTCAGTAATATTGTATAAATATCAATATTAAATATCCGCGGCAAATTTATTGCAGTAATATTTTTGAGACATTTTTGTAATATTACTCTAATATTAGGCAATATTTCTATATATTCCTATATATTTCTAAATATTATGCTAATATTTTGCAATATTGCGATAGTATTTCTATGTACTATAGTAATATTATACTATAGTAATATTAAAAATATTGCTACAATAATAAACGTACGCAAAAAATTTATCAATAGTACAATATATATAAAACAACAGAATAATGGATTAAACAATGATACAGCACTTTCCAGCAAACGAAAATGGATTAAAATTTTTTAATGCGTATTTTAAATCCATGAAAATGGATTGAATGGATTGAAACAGATTGAATCCGAGCTAGTTTAATATTCGAAAAAAAAAAAAACTTTCATACTTAAGAGTTACAAATTTTTTTCTAAGCATTTATAATACTTATATTTGAAATTAACTACTTCAAATTAGTATTAAAAAACGCATCTTAATGGGATCTTAATGGGAACCTGGGATGTTTGGATTATGAATCTTCTATGTTACTCTATACTACTCTATGTTACGCTATACTACTTTTTCAATTGGTAAATGTGTTATTCATTCTCTACTTCAATTACAAGCAGCTAAACTGGTAACGAAATTATATAGCTATAATAAAAATATCATTAGTTAACAGATATAATAAAGAATAAACAATTTACATTACTGTGAGACAACATTGGGTAAGTGTCGGATAATTTAATCTCGCTTGGCCGATGTGGCGCGCCGTGATTAATATTCTAATATTCGGATTGTTTGACTTGGTTTGCGAGTGTTCACATTAATCATTAATTTTATTTCTAATCAAAGAGAAATAAAAGAACATAGCTCATTTATTTTTACGTTACAACTTTTTTGAACTTAGTTGGATTAAAATGAAAAATTTCCTATTTATAATTTTGAATAATTTAAGTAGTATTTATGGTCCATTTTTAAATAAAATTTTTTTTTATTCAATTAGATTGAAAAATTGCATTTCATATTCAGAGTATTAAATTGAGCAGTATTCACGTTGAAATTGCTAATTGTCTCTTTCTTCTCTTCAACTCTATTTCTTTGTACTTGTCATTTGACTCTTCATAAATTTTCATTCGCACAATAACTAGCAAATATATAACAAAATAAAATAAATAACAAAATTATTGTAATAATATCCAGTAAATTTTATAATTTAATGCATCAGTGACACGTTCCATATGAGAGTTGACTTTCACGACAATACCACAACTTATGATTTCACTTAAATAAGGATATATATCACAAAAATTATAATTGTAAGAACAGAGATTTGCAACATCTATGTTTTTTTTTATTATTTTGTACTAAAGAGGACCCAAATTAAGATTCGAAACGTACGCGTATTTTTTATACTATTACGAATTTTTCTTGTGTACTTCAATTTTATCATTGTATTGAATAACAATCATTTACACGTACTTCTTGTGTTGATTTATTTAAAGGCATTTTCTACGTAATTCATTTACTTTATGTTTAACAATGGGATATATAAATAGACTTATGGCACTCCCACGGCCTCCCCTTTGTCAATCATAGCAGACAAAATTATACAGATTTGAAAGTAGGTGCCTTGAGCGAATTTGATTTATCCATCTATTATATAGATACGTAGATGTTG